GGGGGGGGGGGGGGAGGGACGTGGGCCGGACAGACCGGGGCCCGGGGCGCTGGGGCGCGTCCGTCCGCACAGGCTCGCAGAGCCGTTGCCGCGCAAGTGCGAGGGGTGGCCGCCATCTCCCCACCCACCCCTGGGGTCCCCCTGGGACCTCCCCCCTCGGCCGCCCCTCGGGCGCGCGGGGTACGTGTGTCCGCCGGCCTGCACGGGCGCGCGTGTGTGTGTGTGTGTGTGTGTGTGTGTGTGTGTGTGTGTGTGTGTGCGCGGTGGGGAAACACATATGAGTGTTTGCCTCACCCCTCGGGGGGTCGCCGGTGCCGGGGGCTATTTGGGCGGGCGGTCCGGCGGCCCGCGGCGCCCCAAGCCCGGGACAGAGAGAATCTGTTTTTCGATTGCGAGTCCCCTCCCTTCAATAACAGAGACTGGTACTTCCTCCTCCCGCCGCCCCCCCCCCTCCTTCCTGCTCCTGTGCCCACCCCCCTGCCCCTGCCCCTGCTTGCGCTTCTTCGCCTCCCCGACACCCTTGGCATTGCCGTCCCCACACCGCCTAACCTCGCCCCCGCCACACCCCCCCATCAGGCCTCATCATCGTCATCGTCATGATCGTCGCCACCCGCCCCCTGCGCTCCCTCTTCCTCACCCTCCTGGCCCTGCTGGCCCTCTTCGGTGCGGCGGCCCGGGCCTTCGAGGCTCGCGACCTCGGCACCGAGGACTTCGAGATCTCGGACGTCTACCAGCATGGTGACATGGACAAGCCCGAGGAGTTCGGCCACCTGGACATCCGCCGGGTGCTGAAGCGCGTGGCCCAGCTCCGCGCCGCCGGCCAGCATGTTCCCCGCGGTGACGCCGAGATCGCCGACCGCATGGACGAGTTCCGCTACTCCGGCCTGCGCAAGGTGTCCCACCCGACCGCCACCGAGGAGTTCCCCGAGTACTACGTCGACACCATCCTGGACATCGAGCCGGAGGAGGCCAACACCATGTCCCTGCCCAATGTCAAGGACAAGGCCACCGTCCTGGAGCTGGCCAAGATGACCAGCAACGCCTACTACAGCTCCTCCGAGTCCAAGGAGTGGTACACCCTGCCGACCTATGGCAAGCCGGCCATGAGCTTCGGCTGGAGTGGCAACGCCCTGCGCGGGTATGTCTACACCAATGCCAGCAAGTCGGTGGCGGTCATCGACTTCAAGGGCACCTCCCTGTCCTTCCTCGGCATCGGCGGCCCCACTTCGGCCAATGACAAGATCATCGACAACCGCATGTTCAGCTGCTGCTGCGCCCGCGTGTCCTCCGGCTGGAAGACCGTCTGCGACTGCTACCGTGGCAACGGCAGCGACAACAAGTGCAGCAACTCCTGCCTGCGCAGCGCCATGCAGAACGACTCGCTCTCCTACTACAAGGCCGCCCTCAACATCTACAACCAGGTCCGCTCCAAGTACCCCAAGGCCACGGTCTGGTTCACCGGCCACTCGCTCGGTGGCTCCCTGGCCTCGCTGCTCTCGGTGAAGACCGGCTACCCGGCCGTCCCGTACCATGCCCCGGGTGAGCTCCTGTATGGCCAGCGCCTGGGCCTGCCCATCAACACCGGCAACATGGGCGCCTACAGTGCGTCTCCTCGATGTGTCTTCCTGGTGCCTCTTGCTCCTCTCTCTCTCTCCTTCCTTGTCTGACTCGGCTGTTTCCCCCCCCCCC